GGAGACCCTCGAGGTTGGGCAGAGTCTCAGCTTGACCAAGGCAGGTCCTCGCACCAAGTCAGGGCATCTGGGTAAAATGTAGCAGTGTGTGTGGGGGGTGGTGGGGGGATTACAAAATCCTGGACCTCAGAAAACCCAGAGCCTCTCTCCGGCCTGTTCGGCCCACAACACTGAAGAGAAATTAATGAACAAAGCGGCGAAGAAACCAAACTTGAAGCCTGGGGCCTCCTGGCTCAGGGGCACCAGGCCGAGATGCCCAGGGTGCTTTCCCTCACTTCCCGCCCTCTTTAAGGGGGCCCTCCCCAGTCTTTGGGTCTAAACAAGTCTGCAGCAAGCCAAAGAGTTCAGAAATATTGCACCTTCTTTATTGACTCCTGTAGTGTATGACAGCGGGTGTGTACACGGCGTGTGAATATAGTTATACAGAGAGAGAATGTGCGGAATACAGAATACAAAACAGAAAGGAACCAACCTGGGACACCTAAGCTGGGCCGCCAGGTCCTGGATTTGCTCAGTTGCCTCCCTTCCCCCAACTTTCGATCTCACTGGGGTGGTGGTCTCCAAGAAGAGGCTGACCATCCGGAGATCCGGGCGGAGTCTGTCTCGGAAGAGAGGCAGCTGGAAAACGAAAATCCACTGTGTTGTGGCGCTCCAAAAGGGGCTGCGGATCGGTGGAATTTGTTACGCCACTACCCCATTTTCCTCTCCTTCACGCTCTCTCCCAAACTATTTGTCTTTTCTTCTTCTTTTTTCTTTCTTTCTTTTTACTTCTTTTTTTCCCCTGTTTGGTCCGGTTCCCCGACCATACTTCGAGAAGGCCAAAGGAAGGTCGAAGGAAAAAAGCCCTCCTCCGGAGAGCAAGCGACAGCCGGAGTCCCAGCCTCCCGCACTCCCGGCAGAGCCGGGGTGGGGGCCAACCTCTTCCCTGGCGCCTGGCCGGTGTTTCTGTCTCAGACAGTGGACGACTCGACCAGGGCATCCGTTTCTCCGCTGAGCCCCAGGCCTAGAGTGTGCTGCGACCCTGGCCCCTTGGGGAGCGATGCGTCCATATTTTATTTTAACGAGGGGACCTGGCCCTCGGGTCTGGCCTTTCTTGCGTCTCATTCCCGCAG